GCCAGAATCATACATTTCTAGTGGGATCATCAAGTTAGCAAACATGCATTTGTAATTGCAAGCGACAATATTACTTATTTTGTATGTGAGTAGTTCACGTGATAATCAATAATTGCTGAATAATGCCTGGTTTCGATGGTAAAGACTGAGAACCCCAGTGTCATAGACACGGATCCAATGGCTTAGAGGACAAATGTGACAGTTTAAGCAAATCAGGCCTCGCCAGAATCATACATTTCTAGTGGGATCATCAATTTAGCAATCACGCATTTATAATTTCAAGCGACAATATTACTTATTTTTTATATAAGTAGTTGACGTGATTATCAATAATTACTTAATAAGGCCTGGATTCGATGGTAAAGATTGAGAACCCCAGTGTCATAGGCACGGATCCTATGGTTTAGATGACAAATGTGACAGTTGAAGCAAATCAGGCCTCGTCAGAATCATACATTTTTAGTGGGACATGTATTTGCTATTGCAAGCGACAATATCACTTAGTTTCGATGAGCTCGAAACCTGTTTGTACCGAAAACGTATGGCAGACCACCGACTTGTTGCACCGCTTCGAAGGCGGCTCTCGAGGCCTGATTGGCCTCAACATGGCAACAGCCTCGAGGAAGCTGGGCGATGAGGAGCAGACGACTCGCCATTGAGGGTAGGCAAGCGGAGACGAAAGAGAAACGAGCAAGTACTGGCCGAGGGTGGAGTTGTAGAAAAAGATGAATGATATGATGTGATGTGATGTGATGTGATGTGATGTGATGTGAAACGGAGAGTCGTGGGACGCGAGGGTAGAGAGGTGAGGCTGATCACTTGGAGGAGGCTGAAAGGGCTAATTAAATTCCCTCTCTGACAGAGTGGTCGTGGGGTTCCTTTTTGCCCTGACTTGTTCCCGATACCAGCCGGGAAAACAGACATACAAACAGACACACAGACAGACATACAGACAGACAGACAGGGCCAGAGGAGACGAACGGAATGCAAGGTGAGTTTGGCGAGGGAGAAAGTGGCCAGTCTGCAGGCAGCACTGGCAGAACTACGAGAAAGTGAAGTGTCAGAGACTGGCGGAGAGGTGACTGAAGCCGAGGGGCGACGTGGCAGCGGAGGGGAACGCCAGCGTGTGTAGGAGGAGGCTGAGGTCAGGAGGGCTCATTGGGTGAAGGGGTCGGCGGGATGGGCAGTCTGTGGAGCACGAAGACGGCGCAGTCTGTAAACTGCAAGCTTGAAGGGTGAACAAAGGTGGAGCCATTTTTTGCATCATCTCACAATTGGACTATACACACCCACATGAGTCGTTCAGGCACAGACAACTGAAGATGACACTCATTCCGGAAAAAGAGTTACCATTGTCTGTCAGAGAATGGATCTGGGAGCTTCGCAAGACAGTGGAGATATGGTAAACTGTGTACGCGTCTGGTGTGGATGTGAATGAAGCACATGCATTTGGCACAAATGAAGTCTGAGGCGGCCTGAAGCAGGAGAAGAATGTTTGCGACAGGGTTTGCTAAAAGCAGCCAAGGTGATCAGTCTGTTGCCATTCGATTAGGCCACGGAGATAGCGTTCTTGTGGACACTTTCATTTCGTGTGTAAAAGTGAGTCCGATGAAGAGATTCATGGAGCTGATTCGTGTTGTTCTGCAGCCATTTGTCTGTAATACCACGAGGCAGGCTCTCTCGTTTTGGGCACAAATGAGCTGAATATATACGAAAAAAAGTTGGGTTTCGAGGAATCTCTTGTTTCATAATTGTTGAGCTCACTTCCGTTTCGAGTGAAAGTGTTGGGGGTGAAGAGATTCGAAGCCCGGCTCCACCAGAAGACGACGGCCGATTCCTCTTGACATTCATGCTGACGCTGTTTCCGAGGCAATCGCTTTCGATTCCGGATCACATGACGGACATCATCAGAGCGAGGTATCATCGTCACAAAAAAATTTAATCTAATGAGTCAAGAAAAACTCACAGGCAAATCCCTAAAAAGTGGTACACATACTCTACATCTTGATCACTTTATACTTGATCAAGTTGTAGAGTATGTGTACCACTTTTTAGGGATTTGCCGGTGAGTTTTTCTTGACTCGTCAGCTTGTATTTTGTTGCGACGATGTTACCTCGCTCTGATGATGTCCGTCATGTGATCCGGAATCGAAGGCGATTGCCTCGGAAACAGTCGTCTTCTGGTGGAACCTATCTTCGAATCTCTTCACCCAACACTTCCACTTTAAATGGAAGTAAGCTCAACAAATGAGCGCAACTTCAGGCCAACATACCACTTGATAGTCATCTTTATATCTGGGATGTAATATTGCAAACTCTTCAACTTAATGCTACATCAAAAAGATCAACCGGCTCTAGCTTGCACGCCAATTATATTCACCTCTGACGTGAAAGTATGTATATATACAAATATATATATTTATATATCGATAGATTTTAATGATTAGTTTAGTTGTTTTTTACCTTAATTTAGCTTCTCATACTTGGGTATGTATAAATGTGTGCATATTTTGCTTTTACGTCATTTTATCTGTGCCCTGGCAAGACAGATTACGCAACATTCAGATTAGGCAAAAAAGATACGTTACTGAAAGGAGCCTAAATTCCGTCCCGAGTCAACAAGACGCTCTCGCATCTTGTGGGATTCAGCTAAACTCATTTTATATTAAAAAAAACAAAAAATGACTCAAAGATGAATACATTTATATAAATGACTGCCTAAAGAATACCACTTTAATCATCCCTACCTGCTGTATATTCTCTCAATTAGCATGAACTGAAAACACAACGATATAGATAGATAGATGGCTATAGAATGCGCGTGTGCGTCTGTATGTGTGTGATTTCGCATCTCCACCAAGTGCGTAAATGTGATTTCGAAATTGCGATCATAACTCAGCGTAATTGCAAAGAGCTGAACCTCATTCCTGATGCATTCGGTTCGTAGACCCAAGGTGTTTCCACAAAAAATAAAATTCACCACAACAATGCTAGATTAGGGTTTAGATGTGAAAACCAAGATGGTGTAACCTTCGGTTTGGTCGCAGTCTCCTTTAGCTGAACAGTGTTGGTTCGACCTCGTTTTGGCAACTTGGTCGGAGCTTCGGAATGACCTTGTGGTACGTACCTAGTCCCGTGTCCCCTGCCAGAGTATTCGCAATTTCCAGCATTGGACCATCGGCCGGGTACATTCGCAAACGTTTCGCCGGCATCATCAGTGAGAGGCGCCATCTTTGGCACAAAGTCACAACTTATCAAAATGACAAGTGACCCTTGACCAATTT